CTTAAAGGGTTAAATCAGCTTTGTTTACTTCCTTATTATTATTATTCCTTACTGGCTAGTGCACAGTTGAAGTTTATCACCTCAGTTTTAGAGTAGCATCGAGCTATTAGCTATCTCCGCAGGTGTGCATGATTCTCTGAATGAGATACTGATGTTACTATGATTATATGACACTGGTAAGTTTATTGGTACTGTAACAATGTGTACTCTACAATAAAAAAGCCAAACTGTTGCACCTAATTCTTGTTTTTTTTTAAGTGATATAATAACCAATATATGTACATATGCTATTACTAAATCTAAGAACCATTTAATGCCAAAAACTCATTCAACAAAGGCATTTTAACCCATTAATCATTCTTAAATTCTTCGTTATTAATTCTTTAATAACGAATCATGCTTTTTAATTGTGTGGCACCTCACATGCAGTATCAACATTGCTCGTTATACTTCAGAAAATGAAAAAAAATTTAAATAGACAGATGTTAAATACAATATGAAAACGTGTTACCACAAAAGTTAGCGTATTATAAAATTTAAAAAAAAGTATTATAAAATATGACAAATTACTTTCCAAAAAATTACTTTCCAAAAAACTGAAGAAGGATCTCCCTCTCGCTAACCACTTCCTCCAGCTTATCTGGAGAAATGTTGAGCCGTTCCCAGACCAGCCAACAGATTTGTTTGCTCCAGTGGGTCCAGAGTCTACCATTGGTCCTGCTACCAGTAGGACATGCCCAGTCGGGAACCCCTTACCCAGGAGAAGCCCACCTCGGCTGTCTCCTTTCGATGTGTAGCAGCGGCTCTACTCTGTGCCCCACCCAAATGACTGAACTCCTCTCTCTATCGCTAAGGGAAAGCCCATCCACCTTTCAGATAAAGCTCATTTATGATGGTTGCCTCCGAAATCTAATGTTTAGCCTTTAATTGAAGTAGTGATAATAGTGTTAACAAAAAGGCCACGTTGAGATTAAAGGATTCATGGCGTTACTCACCAGTGATGCTCCATCTGGTGGCAGATGGCTGCATAAGATAAGAACACAATTATTTATCTGCCTTGGGTATCAATAAAAATGCAAAACAATTAGATTAAACGACTAGTATGTTTCGTACCAACTACAATATATATACGTATATCACTGTACTGTATGTGTCACAGTTTGAGTAAACTGTTGTTGCTGTTGTTGACATTCTGAAATGGCAAGGACTTCAAATAGCTTAAATCAAGGATTGAGGTGATCCTCCACATTCTCATCTGTTGAAATGGCATACCAGTGTGGGTGTACATTAAACATTCATGCAAACAGCTGTTTCTTCTACAGGACAGCATGGCACAGAGCATGGCTTAGATTTCAAATCAGGCAAGTCTAGAAGAGCTGGATTTGAAGAATATCACATGCAGTGTCGTGTATGAGGACAGGAAATTAACATATGCTTGGCTCTACTATCAGCAAAAGAAACACATTTTTTGAAACTGGCAGCAGGAATCCATAAATTTCCTGCAGGAAAGAAAATTGTGTTTACAATAGAGTTTGGTAAAACTGACTCAAATTTGCTAAAACAGACCAATTAAGCAACAATCTACTTTATGATCCTCAGTGATTCTGATCTGAAACCACTGGATGAGTGAAACGTATTCATGGAAACACAAATCATAGAGCTCAAATAAGTTATTTTTACAGAACACATTGCAATAACATTTTAATTCATGTTAAATTGATGCAACATGGTCACAGACAGCTTGAAAGGATGCCATAATTTCAATGCATTTCCAACACGTTTCAGCTGACATTTTAAGGATGTGTCACAATAGATGCAGTGATAATGGATGCTAGTTCTAGGCAGCTATGTTGTGAGTGTTAGGTATGAGGTACACATTCACAGCAAATGCATTGCTATCATCATGTCTTCTCTTTCTTGTGCCCACATGCACCCTTACTCTCATGATTACGCTCATATTTGTTCACTTTTCTGTCCCTGCGTGAAATATCTGCATCAGTAGCGCTAAAATCCAAACACAGCAAAGATGAAAACACAAGGTGTGTGTTTACTTTTCCATATGTCTGCAATCTACTCTTCATACCTCCCAAATGATCTTTAAAAGTGTACCATAGGTCACAGGCCTGATCTCTTCACAGGAGCTTTACAGTGACCATTTGAATAGCACGGTGACAGACAGATTACCAATTTACAGCCCACACAAAACCAGCACACCAGTAAATCAAAGTGCAGGTCTGTAATGACAAACACACACACAAAGAAAATACAGCTGGCTCCTGTTGAACATTATTTCCTTTCCCCCTTCTTCATCTTTAAAATTATACTGAGTGTGAAAAAAGATTGAGAATGTTAGTGACTAAAACAAAAAAAACATTGTCACCTATTACCACAAAGTCACACCTCACTCTAAACCACCCGCCATGCCAAATAATATGATGGCAAGCCATTCCTGCTGCATAGTGCAGGAATAAGCAAATGATCCCCTTTAGAAATAACAGCTGGTTGTGTTTTTTCTAATGGTGAGTCTCCATCACTGCCCGTCACTCCTCATTCATCAGCAGCTGTTAGCCATCACGCTCACTCTTCTGCTGGAGTGCAGTTTTTCATTGGCACATATCAGTTTGGATAAATGCATCATAACACAAACATTAAGGTGGATGAGGACAATTTCTGCACAAGTAGTTTGCAGAAACATGGCTACCTAGTCCGTTTCTAATAACAGTTGATCAACTGAACAAAGTAGCTGTTTCTGATGAGGTTATGAGTAGAAGGAACGGTATTGATTCCAGCTTTTGAAATTACATGTCTTTGTTAGAACCTTTTTATGCATGCTGAACCACCAGACATATTAGAAACCCTTAATGTTTGTTAAGCTTTTCATTTTCTAATTAAATTTGAACCCCACCAGGAGAATTCATAGCTTAGACATATAACATGCTTTCATTGCAAATTAAAATTGCCTCTAAATCTTAACATTCCCTTTTTCAGCTGAGTGAAAGTTACTCTTGAAAGCTATTTCTTTTTTCTTGCTTCTAATAGAGGTTTGTGAACTATTGTTCACTGACTATACTTAAATGTCTAATTTTTAGTGTCAGTTACTCACACCCCATGACTTCTGTCTTAACATATTATCCACATTCATCACTCACAAAGACAGAAATTCATCATAAGAGGAGACAAACACATTTTTACATTATTTGCAACCTCATAGTCCCCTAATGATTGTGATGAAATCTTAACAAGACTTGCTACTTTCTTACTTCAGTGTGTCTTAACTGCAGGAGACGGCCTTTTATCGAGGTTATTTAGTTTCATTTTAGAAAAATAATTTAACAATATCCGTAAGTGTTAAAGTTAACGCATTAAA